TATATATATATATATATATATATATTATTTTAATTGATTTTTGGATATTCAATAAAAATATCTTAGAAATAAGAGAGCGTCAATATACGTTGATATACGACAAATAAAACAAATTGTTTAAATGTGGTGTTTTAATGTAATTAATAAGATTATTAAATATATTTTTAGTCTTTAAAATTTTTAATTTAATTTTTTTAAAATAAAAATTTAATTTTAATTTATCAAATATTAATTATTATTTAATATTGTATCATAATTAATATTATGATTTTTTTAACTCGATTTTAACAGTTAGTAGGGCATATATAATTTTTTCAAAAGTGTATTTAATATAAGCTGGGATTAATTATGTTAGTCAACAATAATATTTTATCTGTAATTGTAATTTTGATTTCCTAATTTTAAATCTAATTTTAGTCCTTTTTAATTTTGAAAAACCTGAAATTTATTGATTTTTTATTTTTTATTTTTTAATTGTTAAAACTATAACATTGATCATAATTTAATATTAATTAAATAATATAATATTTAAATTACATTTTAATCTGTTTCCTGATTTTATGATAAATAAAATTTAAAAGTATATTTTAACTAAAATAATATTAAATATTAATTATATGTCTTTCATTTAATATAAAAAAATGCTACTAAAAGTAATTATAATCAACAATTCAACACTATAATTAACGGACGAATTGCACGTTTCATAAAATTAAAAAACTGTAATTACAAAATTAAAAATTGAATGACGAAAATTATGAAAGAAATATCATCAAGGGAATAAAAGTAAGATTTAGCTTAATTTTCTATAACTGCATATCCAGCTGTACAATGAAACAATCCTGTAATTTAGCGTATTTATTTAATGTAAATTAGCATACAAAATATATTTCATGTCTTGTAAATTATTTTTAAAATTAAAAATTAATAAAAATGATATAATAATAGATAATTATTAAAAATACAGATAATTATGAAATAAAATTGTTAAAAAAATAATTTTAAAAGTAAAATTACACAATATCGGTGAGTTATTTTCAGGTGCTTGGTGGGAATCATCATTTTACGCACTGCTTTTGCTTTTGCTGAGAGAGAGAGAGAGAGAGAGAGAGAAGATGTGGCCATTCAGCAAGAAAGGGGCTTCTGGGTTTTCATCATCATCCACTGCACAACAAGTTACTGAAGGCATTGATGGAACTTCTCTCACTGCTATTGTCACAGGTCCCTCCTTTTTCTTCTATAATTCCCACATACTGTATTTTTTTTCTTCCATCTAGTTCAATGATGGACTGAACAAATTGAAAAATGTTTCATTTATAATATAGTTCAATTGGCTTCTGTTGTAACCAGCCAGAGGAGTTTTTTTCGCTTATATATTTGTTCGTCTTGTTAATGAGTTTTTGAGCGTGTCCTATTGGTGAGTACACGTTTTGTTTGCCACGTGTTGCAAAGAACCATGGATTTAAATCGCGGTCGCTGAGGTTTTTAAAACCTTGTATAGAACTATTTGGAACTACTACCCTGTAGCCTTGCATCGGATATTGACTTGCGGAGTGATTTACAAGCTTTTTCGATTAGCCCAACAAGACTGAATCCCTAGAACTAGGGTGTTCAAAACCTAATCAAAACATTTTAGACTGCCAAATTGATAAAATATATATAAAAACCAAAATAATCAAACCGAAAACCAAAATAAAATGCATACTTTTTTAGCTGTTTGGTTCGGTCTTCAGTTCTTGTTGTGAAAACCTAACCGAACACCGCAGATTATATTTATATCTATTTATTTAATGGATATATATATATATATATATATATATATATATATATATAGAATTTATATATATATATAGCATTATGAAGTACTACTATTATCTTAAACTTTAATAGTTATAATAGTATGTTATATATAAATACTTTTTATAAGAAGTTTGTGATATGCAATTTATCTTCCTCTATAAGTAATAAGTATTAAATTAATTTATAGCATTTATTTTTTTGTTTTGTGATTAAGATATACAATTTCTTTATATTTCAAAGGTGTAACTTTTTTAAAAGATAATGTTAAACAATCATACCACATATTATTTTTCAACAAAAATATTTTAAATATATTTTATAAAAAATATTTTTTAATAAATAATATAGCATAATAATTATATAATTTTACTTGTTAAATTCTTCATTATGTCAATAAATTAAAAAAAATGCTAAACCAAATTGAACCTAACAAAACCATAAAAGATCAATTTGGTTTAGTTCGGATTTGATGTTACATTAATGAACCCAATCACTTGTTCAATTTATGTTTGTTTGGATGACTTTTGTTCCAAAAACCAAACTAAACTACACTACCTAGAACTCTATAAATGCAACAACCGAAACTGGAGTCTTTGGTGGGGCATAACTTGTGCATCTCTGCATATCAGCGTATGCATGCTTCATTGAACTCTAGCAGTTGACAAGATTAATAATTATTGGAATGATGTTCCATTTTTTAAATGTGGTATGTGAACATTCTGGTAACAGGAGCATCCAGTGGTATTGGCACTGAGACTACACGTGTACTTGCTTTGCGCGGTGTCCATGTCATTATGGGTGTGAGAAATATGATTGCTGCTAAAGATGTCAAAGAAACAATACTTAAAGAGATTCCCTCTGCTAAAGTTGATGCCATGGAGTTAGATCTCAGTTCAATGGAGTCTGTCAAGAAATTTGCATCAGAGTTTAAGTCCTCTGGTCTTCCATTGAACATCTTGATGTAAGAAAAGGAGATGACATGGTTCACTTATCAACTTTATTTTCACTATTTATTTTTATCATTTTGGTTTTAGTAATGTGTTTGGTTACTAGTTCTCTCTCATTATCCATGCCTATGTACCAATTGAGCTTTCTTAATCCTGGTCATTCAAGCAAACACAAGAGTAATATTGTTTTCTGGTTTGTTCGTAATTACAAGAAACAATGCAGGAATTATGGCATGCCCTTTCAAGCTCTCTAAAGACAAAATTGAACTACAGTTTGCCACAAATCACTTGGGTATGTTGAAAATGTTATTGTCTAGTTCAAGGTCCAACTAACTGAATCTGAGTGTTCTTCCATTAGAAAATTCATTTGATGACTGATAGTGACATTGCTTCAAATTTACTGATAGTTTATTTGTTAACGTAAACTTTCTGAGCTTCCTAGTTTAAATGGGAAAAGGGAATTGAAGGGAAACATTTTGGCCCTTGCAGAAGTTTCTAGGAACTGTATAGGCCATGTGATTTGTATCTCTCTGATTCAGATAATTAAGAATTCGGATAAAAGGTGATAGTTACTGTAGCAATATAGTCATAGACATATGCATCCTTTTTCTTTCTTTCTTGGGGAAGCAGTTATAAATCATTGAAGCATGAAATATGTGTATTACTACACTTACAACTTTCTCAACCTATATAATTGGGTGATATTTTATATTAAACATCAAGTAATTATTTTATTGTTTATTTAAATGAATAGAATGAGAATATGTGGTAGTGATCTTAATCCTGATGCTTTTATTTAACACACTTTTGCAGGGCATTTTCTCTTGACAAATCTTTTGTTGGACACTATGAAGAAAACTTCACGTGAGACTAAAAAAGAAGGAAGAATTGTTAATGTCTCCTCTGAGGCTCACCGATTTGCATATCCTGAAGGAATCCGTTTTAACAAAATTAATGATGAATCAAGGTAATATGTAACCTAAATTCAAATTACAACAAGATATGCTGGCAGCTTTTTTTTCTCTTTTTATTTTTTAATGGAAGAAGAGTTTATTGAGAGGGGAAATGGAGACTTGTGCAGGAGTCTTGAGACCTCAGTTCTATTATATCAGTCACTCAGCTCTAACATTTTTTTTATTATACAAAAGTACTATTCAATATTAACTTATTAAGTTTGTGATTATTCTATGTAGTTTTGGTACTCAGATTTTCTGTGTGTATTGGAGAATATGCCAGATCTGATACAAAAAAACTTTCTGATAGGATTTAATGCTCATGGATATAATTGTAGACCACTTGACCTATACCTACCTATGCACGTCTTAGTTGCATTTAGTAGAATTAGGAATGGAGATGTGATTCTCGTAGTACTTACTGAAACAACTTGTGTTATGTATATTTGATTTTGCTTCCATGTTTACAGTTAAATCAAATGACTCACCTTAGTTTTTTTGGTAATTGAAGCATCAAAACATGATTTATGTTCCTGTAGTTTTTGTCAACTGGTGGTGTGTATTTAATTATGTTTGCTTCCTTGTGTTCAGTTACAACAACTGGCGTGCATATGGGCAGTCAAAGCTTGCCAACATTTTACATGCAAATGAACTTACAAGACGTCTCAAGGTTTGCTAGCTTCTTTCTCCTCTACAGTGGTGTAATTTACAATATTATCTGGTAGAATAGTTAATAGTACTTTTTTTACACCATAGTGCAACATTTTAGTTGGCCATTGAGCAACATAATATTTTAATAAGTTAGCATTATTATCCCTGATTTATGTAAACTTTTGGCTGATTAATAAGAAAAAGATGTCCTTAGTTTTATGTGTTCATTCATTGTCCCTTTGGCTTTTGTCAGTTCACTAAGAAACTGATATTTCTGATTGAACATAATCAGATTGTGGCATGACCTTTGTTTAGTGTAATTAATTCCTGTTTCAGCCTCGTTTCCAATGGAAACAATTCTATTGTATTTTGAAGTTATATATTGCTTTCTTACTTGGTTGCAATAGACTAGCAGATTCAGACTTGTGCCAAATTTGTTTCTTCTCACTCACTCGTTATGTTCATTGTGCTCTAAGGAATTAAACTATTTTTCACAAGCCATCAGGATATCATTTAGAATTACTTAATTTTTAACTGTATTTTTCTTCTTCACACTACACTCTTACTAATCCCTTTATCTTGCTGGTTAATGGTCATGTATAAGAAGTTGCTCATTATTGTTATTTTTTATTAATTAAAGTTGACCATATCTTTGGGAAGGTTGCTGATTTGTTAGAAAAAAGTAGGTGATTATTGATTACCAATATTTGTTATTCATCAATTTCAGTGGGATTTTTAGCCCCTGGATTCAGTTTCTGAAAAAACTCAAATTTCGAGTCCCTCCTGGCAACTACTATCATATAATCCTTGTGTTTCTTTCTCGTTCTGCTTTTTTGTGGTTACCTTTTTCTATGTTGTGTGTAAAGATGGCACCTTGTTTTTACCACATTTGCTGTCTTTTATGTATGTAATATTATGTTTTGCATCTTGGTCAGGAAGATGGGGCGGATATTACTGCAAATTCTCTTCATCCGGGAACAGTTACCACCAATCTTTTCCGTTACAACAGTACAGTGAATGGTAACTACCACGTGATCTCTATCTAGGAATTGTATAGGTCATGGAATTTGTATGATGCATTCTGCATTATCGTCTTTTTTTTCATGTTAATTGTCTTTTAAAATGCAATAAGCTCGCATTTGTCTACATTTCTTTTTGGTTTTATATCCTTAATTTGGTACAAAATATTGTTCAGAAACCAACACCTATTAAGATTAGGTTGGTAATGACACACCAGGAGTGAGAATTCGTGTAAGATTTGTATTCAAATGAAAGAGCTTAAGCTCTTATAGAGGATACCAGATCCTCAGCTCCTCTGGGAAGGACTTTCTCTGTCTAAAAGCGACCCAAATAATCAACCTGCCTCTCACACCATGTTAGGACCCAGTGGCAAGGAGCGGGAGTTGAGACCCACATTGAATGTATGGGATTCTGGTGCGGGGATTCCAAGGCCTTGGGCGCTATTACATGGTTAACTTTTATGGTGTGGTTCTTCCAAGGTTCTTATCAATTGGTATCGTATTTTGGGGCTGTGGAGCTTGAGTTTCACATTAGAAGAATGAGGTTTTGAAACGGATTTATATGGTCTTGAACTTTGCAACTACAATGGCTAGTTTTTATGATTCTCCCAAGGTTCTTATAACTCTCCTTGCCCCTATAACCACTCTGCTAGGCCTATTTTACCTGCCAACTCAGCAGCATAACTAATTCTCTTCCCCCATAGCTCTTTTCTGTTTACATATACAGGCCTTCCAGATTATGGATTTTTTGGGGCTCAAGTCCATAACTGGTCCATGTCTTGTTCAGTCTTCCTGGTTACGTCAGGCCATGATCAAGTGCCCTATCAGTTGTTAGCCCTTCTGAATATTGAATGCAGGCATGCGAAAGAACAGCTTGAGCATTCTCGAGGAGCATTTCTCGTGATCATTTGGAAAAGACCTTTTAATTTTACAACACTTAATTTGTATATCAATTCATGTCTGTGAAATTGTTTATTTTTTTCAATGCAGATAATGATTGATGTGTATATTCTGTTTGATTTGTGCAGGGCTAATTGCTGCGATTGGGAGGCTTTTTCTTAAAAATGTCCAGCAGGTAAGTTGAATCAGACCTATATTATATACTCCCCCTATTCTCTATTATAAGCAAAATAAATGATTTTATGCATATTAAAAAAGTTGATTATTTGCATTAAATTATGCTATTTTCATTAAATTCTTTCTAAATTGTCCTTATTATAAATGTGAAAGAAATAATGCACCCGAAAAGTCATGTATTAAAGGATGGATATTTTAGAGAAAATATCATTACATGATGTAAAAGTAGTTAAATTTACTATTTTTTATTTATTTATAATAGACAACAAAGGAAGTATGTCGGGCCGACATCATGATTTTTAGGGCATTATGCTATATAGTATATATTTTCAATGATTACCGGTACTCTTGTGAGTTGCCGAACATTTATTTGTTGTTACTTGTTTGTTATCTTTAGTACACTTGAAAACATTTATTATGAAGTTAGTAAATAATTGACAATTCACCTAGATACAGCATGCATAAGGATACAATGTACTCTTTTTAACATAGTAGAGGATTCAAACATTCCTGTGGTTAATGTGGGATTCTTCTGACCTTGCTTGTTCACCTTGTCCAATCATAATGCAGGGAGCCGCAACAACATGCTATGTAGCTTTGCACCCACAAGTGAAGGGAATTAGTGGCAAGTATTTTTCAGACAGTAATTTGGCCAAAACAACCTCACAGGGCACTGATGCTGATTTGGCCAAGAAATTATGGGACTTCAGCACGGATTTGACCAAGTAAAACCCCCCACTGTTATTTCTCAATAGAATACATCAATTGTATGACATCCTGTAATATATTTATACCGAGATTATGATTCCTACATTGGCTTGGTCCTACTCTAACCTTTTATTTTGCACAGAATTTATACCAATAAGTCTTAAAAGTCATTTTCTGCATTATATTGAAGAAATGCGCAAACGTGGAGTTAGTCTCACTTTGTTAAGAAAATGAATTTGTGCAAGAATATCACTTTCTATACTTTATTATTTCCTGTTGGATGACTCTCCCAACTCCAAGCTTGTTGAGCTTCAATTGAACACGACAATCGAGGCTCTCCAAATTGATTTCAATGAACTAGGTGTTATTTGTAAGATACTTTGGCCTCGTATATACCATCAAAATAGTGCAGAGGAATGAAAATAACCATATAGTTTATCTCAAACTTACACAGCTCAATCAAAGGCACCCCTCTCAGGCACTTCTAATCATCCCCTTTAACTTCAAGCCTTTTTATAAAGCTGATTGGGCCATTGATCCAGACGATAGGAGGTCACATCAGATGCTGAGATGGCTTTAGGTCTTTTTCTTGTCTCTTCGTCTAGGAAGCAAACAACAGTCAACAGTGGCTCCCTCAAGCACTGAGACTTGGTTGTGAAAGTATGATAGATGGATTTTGTGTAATAAATTCAGTAATAAGTGAGCTTTTTTTTTTTTTTTTTTTTTACGATATTTGAACATAGGAACCCAAATAAGTGTGTTTTCTAAAAATATACTTAAGTTTAAAATGTTTTCACATTTGATCTTGGTCTATTTAATATGATCAAGAATAGAATCACCAAATTATATTTCTTTTTTCAACGAATATGAAAATGTCTCGACTAGTGTATTTCATTGAAATTGAACTAGAACACAAGATCTATCCAGCCCGATTGGCATTATATTTTCGAGGTAAATGAATCATATGATTTAAATTGTTTTGTAATCGTCTATATTTTCTTAAATTTACCATCAAAAAATTATAATTACTATCTATAACTTAAAGAAATATGTTTTTCAAAAAAATATATGTATTTTTTCATTTTTTTCAAGAAATATAATAATTATCATATAGGTAATAAACAGAGTCAAGCTAATTGAATTTAACCACATGTTCATACGATGTTTGAATTTGACGATTCCATTTTGATTGACATCCCCAAAATATAATCAAGTTATAGGTAATTGAGAGAAGCGTGGGTACAACGAATAAACCTTTATTTTAGGCACTTAAACTTTTCAAAAATCTTCATTTCAGCGCCAACTTTATTCATTGAGTCTGTTTTTTTGGAATGCGAAACAAAAATAAAAAGTAATATTAAAAAAGAGTAAAATGTATGACATTATGAGAACAAATGTGGATTTTATAAATTTAGGATTAGTGTGATTTCAAAACTAAAATGAGCATTTACTAAAGGTACAATTGCCTCCAACAACATCAATTAGAAAAAAGTTAAAATATATTTGTTTAGTCTTTATATATAATATTTATTTATTTATTATTTGATCTTTAAATTTAAAAAATGATCCAATCCTTGGACATGGAATGATTTTCAATTTGATCTCTGCTGTCGGTTACTATTATAAGTTATAACACTAACACAAGAGATACGAATAAACAGGACGAAGATGAAAATTTGTGCGACTGAAAAGTGAAAAGTCTTTTATTATAGGAACCAACTTGAAAAGTATCACATATATGTAAGAATGAAAACTGTATTTGAATTAAAGAAAAAAAGTAAGCAAGTATAAGCGAAAATGTCTTGGTAGACGTCTCAACTATTGGAGTTATGAAGTTGATAGTCAGCCTAATTTTTCCCATACTTGTGCCGCCTTCAAAATCGTTTCTCTAACCTCATTTTTAGGATGTTGAACCCATCCACACATAAAGCTTTGCCGAAACTTCTGAATTTCTTTCTGTAAAATCTTTTAAAGTAAGTCGCACTTCAACAAGGTAGCTTAGTAAAACACAAATTAATACTCACGTCTTGATAATCAGGCATGCTTTTGTCTTGCCATTTTATCGATCCATCCCAAATTTCCATGTATTTCATCACATAGATGCCACAATCATGACTTTATCAAACATATAAAGCATCAATGAGAAACAATATATTATTATCTTTAATAACGAATTCAGTTTTACATAAATGAACATGAGAGCTACACGCATTACTCACTTGTTTTTCTGCCTAGGAACATCAACGTAAACAAGTGTTACCGATGCATTCTCTTCTGTCAAACCAGGACTCATTAATACCAGCAGCTCCTCAAAACGACGTTTCTTTGCATTGAAAAACCATTTATTGGTTGGATCAGACAAAGAATTTAGGAATAAAAAATTGACAAAAATAATGTAAATATTTCCTAAGGAAAAAGAAATGTTCAACACTACCGTTGCATCGTCCAAGTTTTTCTTGCTGATTGAGAGATTATTTTGCATCGGATCTAACACATACAGGGTTTTTTCCTTGGGCTCGAACGCATAACAAGACCAATGCTCCTCAAACAAAGTTGGTGCAAAAATCTAAAAGGACAAAGGAAACAAATTATCTTACCTGAAAGACATTGTATACCACCAATTCTAAAGGTTACTTATAAACCATATTAAATTTCATACACAAGGCACATAAGGTGACACCATACTTACAAATTTGCACTGATTAATATCATAACCCAATTTAATCGGCGAGATGAATTGTGATACATCCTCAATGCACCAAGGCTTGTAGCTATCTTCTTCATTAGATAGATTTGAGCGAAATAGTACCTTACTCTACACAGAAACATCATTGACTGACTGACATGAGAATGTTATGCTGACTAAACGCTATTATAGAAAAACATTACTGCCATAAATGTTGATAGCGTCCTTCAACAGCTCTTTTGTTTATGAACTTTATAGTTAACTACTCACCATAAATTGTGGGCTAAAAATATGACGAGTGACAGCCCCATTGGTTGCCTTCTCCTCTTCCATCATTATCTTTCCAGCAGCTAAAATCACCTGAACATTATATATACTTTTTCAATTATAAGACAAAAAATTAGAACGTTAAATTCAGCCTTCAGCATTTTAGTACCGACCATAAAACTGACCCATCCTTTTGGTCTCATTGTATGGCTATCCTTGCGGCCTAAGTGAACGCCAAACATGCTAACCAAGACACTGGGATTGGAATACATGATCTTCAACATCAGTAAGACAACATATGCAACATCAAACTACCAAGGTACCGTAGCTTCGTACCTCAATTCATCATGTACATTTGGTCTACGGGTACAAAAGTAATATAGCTTGTTCAGCATAGACAGGGACTTTTTGTCCACAGCCTTCTTCACTTGTTGACGGCCGGAAGGTTCCAATGGCACAGATGGCCTACTTTCGGGGGCCCTGATAGCTAATTGAATAATACATGATCAGGTTACTGGACTCAGCTAGAGCCTAGGTACCAAAAAGAAAAATTGATCACATTACTCACATTTATATCACAGAATCATGGCACACTAACAACATATAACACATTTCTAGTTTTACACTAGAGTAGATGTAAAGGATCACAAGCTAGAAGAAATCAACATCAGAGAATCTATTAATCAAAAATGTTAAGTTAAAGGAAGAAGGAATTTTCGCCATAACTACCACTGCTTGAAGGTTCGACTGCCTCACTTGTCGTGTCTTTCTCCATGCTACCAGCTGCTGATACAAGGAAAGCACAATTTGTCACGTTAATACGTAAGTTCTGAACTTATAACAGTATTGGAGCAACAGAATTAACTAACATATCCTATTGGAGCATCAACAGAATTAATTAATACATCCTAACAGAATTTTAACTAACTTCCTGTTGCTCCAATAACCTCATAATGTAAAGGAAATATTCATGTAACACAAGCATAGGTATAAAATTTCTAAAACTGCATCAGGATATAGTGTATAAAAATATAAAAAAAAACAAAAACAATTAAGTATCAAAATCAAAATATTAATACAATTTTCATAATGTTCTAACTCCAGTAATTAACAAAAATACAAAATGCATGGATTGAACAGAGCTTGAGTGATAAGGGAATACAGGTACTTAATCTATAACTATACATCAAGTGTAATACAATCATGTGTAACAAACACGTATCTGATACATGTACAAGTGCGACTAACTCATGGTTCAAGTAAGTAGATGAAGTGTGTACCTTTGGCAGTGGTAGATGAATTCTTCCTCTTACGTGGCGGCATTCTTAACTTTCACTGTTTAGCGAAACAACAAGAATCACACTTCTCAAAATTGAAATATCTAATGCAAAATAATGATAATGAATGTTGAAAATGGAAGCATAAACACTTTAGTTAACAGAAGAAGAAGAGAGAGAGAGAGAGAGAGAGAGAGAGTTGAGTAAACCCTAAGAAGTAGAAGAAGAGGAAGACAAAGATGGAGGAAGAGAAGAAGCGCGCGACGACATCAAAAGGAAATTCAGAAATGTTTCGACACAACTGTCCCGACCACTCTGCTTTCTATTTATAGAATTATCGAACCATTTGTAGCACTCTACTTTACAATGCTTTAACACCATTTTTTCTAAATTATTTCTTTTATAAAAACTTTATTAATAACTTCATCTGTAAACAAAATATAACAGTTTTATTAATAACTTTCTCTGTAAGCCAAATAAAATATATATCTAAAATATTCTCTATTTAATTCAAATTTTATTTCAATAACTTTTAATTCTCGTATTATCAATCGCATGATCTTTAAAATGAAGAAAAAGCACTTTCATTTAAAATAAATTTTCATGAAATTGAATTTCGACCAATTAATGTGGAGTAGTTTGAGAGAAATGAAATTAATTTTCTTTTGCATGCAGATGAAGTTAACTAACTTTTTTTAATCAACGTGTGGCAAGAAAACACCATGCCTATTTTAAACTATTGGACATAGGTTTTACCCATTAATAATAATGGGTAAAAAATAATAAATAAAAAAATTACTAAAAATATTGTTAAAATATATCTGAAAATATGGTGAAAATACATTAATAATATTTGTTAATATAAAAATTACTTTTGGGTCGTTGGCTTTTGTTTTTTTAATTACCATATATAATTATTATTAACTAGATTTTCACATGGGGATACAAGTAAAATACTCAAATTTTGTTCGTTGGGATGTAATTTTATTTTATTATTTGGTATGCTAGTTTGAAATATGATTTTGTTAAACTATGCAATATAAGTTTATTATGACAATTTTCCTACGGTCTTCACATTGAAAAAATACTGACAAGTTGACATCAACTATTTAACTTTAATATCTCTAATATATCTATTAATATAATAACTTTTTTTTATTTTTTGAGATTCCATATCTTTTAACAAAATTTTAATTAATTTTTTTTATTAGAAGTGATAATACTTAAATAAAAAAAAGGAATAATGCGTCATATTCTCAACTTTGCTCTACATATGTATTACAAACTCAATATTTCAAAAAATTCATATATTATAATTTGTTTGGATTATAAATGAAATAGAGAGAAAATACATTAAATAATGAGAATAACAAAAATAAAAGAGAAGTCAAGTATAAAAGATGTAGATTCAAATCGAAGAAATAGAAAATCTTCTCGTTACTTACTTAGATGAGTAGGTGAGTAAAATTAAATTATTAAATTATAGAAAATATCCTGATTAATAAATTAAATTTAACACAATTAAAATTTTTACTATGTTATTTTTTTCTTAACATAAATCATTTATTATTATTTATGTTTTAAAATTTTATTTACTTTTTAAAGGTAAAAAAAATGTTGCACTTATTTTTCTCCATTTTCATGGCCGGTGAGAGAAAAAACAAATTTATACTTTCTTCATTTCATAACAAGTCTTATTTTAATTTTCTTTTACTTGAATAAACAAAAGTTAATAAATAAATAAAATGAAATAATAATTTTACAAAATTAGTCATATTATTAATTTACTTTACAATAAACAATGCAACACAACATCTATCTAAAATAATTATTACTTTATTAGAAATATAAATAAAAAAGATAATCAATATCATATTAAAAAAGTTAAAATAATACTCATTTTGAAAATTATTTTTTCTTTCTACATCACACTTCTTATAAATCGAAGGCAGTACATAGAACCTAAAATATAATCTTTTCTTATTTGTTTTCCTAAACAAGCAGGAAAAAATTAGTACTTTTGTTTTTATTTTATCTTCTCCATTTCCATTCCGCTAAATATGCCCAAATACATCCAAACAAATACTTATGTACCCAAAATATAATTTCTTATTTCCTTTCCTAAACAAGAATACCAATAACTAAACAAAAATATCAATAAATAAATTTTATACAACAGTATTTAACAATTTTTTTAACAAAATTTAAATATAAAAATTAAAACAAAATTTTTGATATTACAGAAATTAAAAAGACCAATTTTAAATTTGAGAAAATAAAGACAAATTTATCATAAATTTGAAACACTAAAATCATTTTTAAACCTTATACTTTCAACTCAGTCAAAATGAAGTACTCGTTCAAGATCAATAAATACAAGTTACCTTAATTTTTTTTTTGTAAGTACTTCAACTATAACGCTAGGAATGTAATCAAAAGGAGAGTGATGGCCAGTAATATATATTCAATGGTGTTTTCAAAGCATTCATTTTTTCTCATCCAACTATATTTGTTCCAAAACCCTGCATAAACCGATTGGAGGATCATAAGATTAGATTTCTTCCCTTTTACTGTTGAATAATAATGTACAGCCGCAGGACAGATCCGGTAGTATACAATGACTAATACATCTGAGTCCACAATTAAACATGACATGCATGGACTCTGTACCAAACTTGACTTCCCATCCATAAATGCATAATCACAACACAGATTCCCATCTACTGTACAACAATGTCTAACCTCCCAAAAAATAGTCTACAAGTTAAGTTTTGTATCAATTTAACCATTTTTCTGGCATCTATATGGTGTTCCAACTCCAGAAGATGCATTTGTCATTGCAAGAACTCTGTCATTTCTAGTATCTTAAAGCACAGCAGAGAAACGTCTCATGCGTTCACGCTGCATCTTAAATATGTTACATACAAGAAGTTCCTCTTTGCCAACAAGTAAGCATTTGTGAGTTGATTGCTTGATATGGACAAATTGTCAGAGAGTTTAATGCTGTGACACGAATTAATGAACTCCACAAGCCAGAGCCTGAAGCCATGCAAAATACACTTTTGTGCCTCATGTAGCCTATTCTCGGATGCAAATTTATTTACATTGATTCTCTTGTGCTTTGGCTCCTTATTGTATAATTATATTCTTGCAAATAGAACAATGAACAGATCTGCATAACCAAAGGTATTATGAGAAACTTGAGGAAAAATATTGATGTCATAAACCATTTGGCCGGCTAAACAAAGATGAGTTGGGACTGAGATCAAGCGATGGGTTAATCTTAACATGCTCCCCTAGCAGCTGCCGGCCAACACGATCAGCCAAGACTGACTGAAAATCATATGTTTCTGGATGAGGAGGCCTTGCAAACTGCTTAACCAGAACATCATTTTCACTGGAAACCAGTTCTGATGGAATGTGAGACCCTATTTGTATTCCTCGAAAAATGTCAACACTTAAGTCATGATGACCAGGGCCATTAATGTAGACACCGTTTGAGGACTTTGGCATGCTTCCAAAACCTTCTTGGAAGTAAATTGACTGTTTAGAGTGATTACCAAATGGAATGGCACCACTGCCACCAGCGAGAGGCGTGGATGCCCCAGAAGCAGTCCGAGGGCTAGATATAGGAGAAGGAGACATTATTCCATTCCTGTGCTGTGGTGATCTTGACCTCAAAAGTGGGCTACCAATGGGAGAGACAGGGCAAGATATATTCCTCGGAATATGGATTTCACTGGAGATTAATGACATAATTTCAGATTACCATTGACAAAGTCAGCAGCCTTGCATGCAAGTTTCCATGTGTATGTGTGTGTTAGCGAGAGAAAGAGAGAGAGAGAGAAAGACCTTTCATGAGGATTAGTTCTCAAAAATCTAGAAGAATGAACAGAAAGTCTATCTGAATCCAAGCTAGAAAGATTCTTTCCTTGTACAATGCCCTGAAAAATTGATCAAAGGAGCATGAAATTATTATAATAATAAGAGGATACAGAAGGAGAAATAAAATGAGAAGCAAATATCGACAGTTCCATTGATGCAAGAAAATATAGATAAGATCTCACATTTGGAAGCAATTTTATGTAAACACTTACAGCAGATACACTCTGGAGCCGGACTCCATATAGACATGCAGATGCTAAACAAAATTTATGTTACTGTTAAAATAATCATTACTACAATTCTTAAGATTACAACAGTCCCTTTAACTGAACTCCATCCATGTACTCTAACAAAATTCTAGCCTGATCAAACAGAAAGCAAATCCAATTTATAAACCCTAAAACCTTTATTCTGTTCCAACTGTTGTCCAACTATCCCTCAACCCAATTATGTCTCGAGCTACTGTCCCTGCCTTTCCCTTCTGTACCATTCATGCTGCCTCATATGCAAGGACAATTTCCATGGCAACATAATGTTAGATACCTGAGTGAGGCTTGAATAGTTGAATCAGTCAGTAACTGTTATAAATAGACAACTTAGTTAGTTTATTTTGAAAACTGGACTGTCAATCAGTGGGTTTTAAAGCCACAAATGAAAAGTCAAGAAGGTATAACTAGGAGAAAAAGGGAGAATTGGGCGAGTTGGGGAGGGGTTTTGGAGTGGAATTGAAGGAGAACCCAGGTCTCTCAAACACCAGAATAAGCCTGTATAGATGCTGATCAAGAGATAGGTTTTCTGTCAATAAACAGTCCATTTTTTCCAATACTCTGATCCAGTTCTATCACATACTTGAAAAGGGAATGAGAATATAAATCCTCCAAATACCCCAATATTCTGGACTCGGACAAAAAAATTATGTGTATTGCCAAGAGCATGAATTACCTATACAATATACACGCCAAGAACATTTAAATCAATCATGATGAATGTAAAAGCATGAAGAACAAAAAGTCCACATCACATAGTTTCATGAGGCAGATCAGATATTTCTTATTTGGTTCTATATCATGTTTAGACAAATAAGGCAGTGGGATAATTTGATACATAAGCAGCATAACATGCAGTGAAAGACAAACAAGCTACCCCCAATGCTAATGTGGACATATTACACCAATAAAAATGAGTTCTAAACAATTTATGTTAGAAAATCTTTTATATACCAGAGCTTTTGCTCCCTGTGTAATCCCAGAAAAAGGGTCCAGCGATTCAGGAGCCAGAATAGGTCTTTCCACAGGTGCAGCATGTTTTACAAAAGGGTGGTCCAATAATTCACTGGCAGAAGGACGATCATGCGGATTACGCTGAAGACATTTCCTAACAAAATCTTTTCCTTCATTTGAGAGATGATCTGGGATTGTTGGGAGCTCCTTGCTATTACCAATTTTGAACATGGCAGCAACCTGTTATGATAGCAAGAAAATACATCAAGCCACAAGAAGAAATAATTTACAAAAGGTGACGTGCTTACAATAAAATTATCATCAGCACTTTGCAAATATAAAATACTGCAAATACATATTATGGAAAATGATAAAAATATAAAAAATATAAAAAAATAAGCTCTGATATTTTGATACAAGTTACTAACCCCTTCATACTGAAACCAAGGAGGTTTGGTCGTAGCCATTTCCAAAACTGTGCATCCAAGACTCCATATATCCACTGCAAGGTTGCATCCATTAGAGTTCTTTATAACCTGAATCATCAGAAAGTAATGATTCTGAGTCACAAAACTAAGACACAATTAAAAATATTAAAAACAGATCTAAAGAAAGTATTAAAACCTCAGGAGCCATCCAGTAAGGGGTTCCCTTGAATGACAATGGACACGACTGCCCTTTTATCTGCAAATTACATAAGGTATAATAAGGGAAAACAGCACAAATTATGCAACATTTGGATTAGTTAAATCATTAAGAATTATAAAATCAATGAATCAGATGCAATATCAGATGACAATTATACGGGAAAACAAAGCCCTTAATTCAAAAGAAACCAAAGAATCCAATGCCTTTGTTGTTGGTGTTTGCATTTGAAGTTGGAGTTTCACGTGTTAACTAGTAGAAGCAGGGAATTGGAAGTTCTTTACAATATGGAATGTGGTCTACATGCAAATCATACCACCACCATTACAGAAAGTTGGCAGTCTGCAAAAGAGATTCAGAAGAGGTTCTTGGGAAATTTATTACTTCAGGTTCTGTATTCTGGTTTATTCAACTTCCTACTTATATATTAATTTGACTCTTTTTTTTCTACCCCTGTTTTTGGTTCTATGTTTTCGCTTTGCATACTTTGGAGGGAGGGAGGGAGAGAAAGAGGATAAGTTTCATTTTTGTATCTTATAAGATTTTAAATCACTCACTTACTGCAAGAGGCCAAAATCAATAATATTTCATCAGAATGAACAACAGATATTTTATTAAAAAATTATTAGAAACAACAGTAAAAGTATAGCTAGGGTAAGCTTACAAAATTCACCAAAAAAGTGGGGTGGAAAAAACTGAATTGTATAAAGAAAATAAAAGTGCAATCAACAATAGTATCCAATATCAGAAAATGGAAAATAGCAAAACTTTTAAATTAGTGACTTTTTAACCAACATTTTGATAGGCAATGTTCTGAATAAGGCGGTTATAATTGTGTATTAGGGAGTTTCTGTTATTTCATATTCCCTCCATCCCATTTTGTTTGACATTTAGGGGGCATTTGAAAGTTGATACACGGAAAGATTTTATTTTTCAGAGAATCTGAAATCAGGAATGTGAGTTTTGTATATTTGGTTTTATATTTAAAAAATAAATTTCTAGGAAACATTGTTTCCTAGGAATGGTTTTTCGATAGGTTTCCCACAAAAATGTTCCCATGGAAAAGGTGGGAAACTAACATTCCCAAGTTAAAGAGAAATTCTTAATTCAGTAAAAATGTCATGTTACCTTTATTTTCTTATTTAATATAATAAAAATCTTTTATTCCCGGTTAGCATTTATAGATACTCCCAAAAACATTTATGACCAACCAAACATTTTCATCATTTCTAGAATCATGATTCTTAGGATTTATGATTCTCAAACATGAAAAAAGGTTTTGGCTCAAGAATTAAGAAATACAATTAATGTTATAGATTTCATAACAATTATGAAATTTTCTAATATATCCCTAATCTTTCATATTAATTAGATTTTCTCTCCTTTATATTTTTTTTTCACTCCACGATAAATGTTTAAGCATATAATAGGAAAAAATATTTATTGCATCATTGATATTCTAAAAATGACAATCAAAGACATTTTTTTGCTAAATCATCAAACCAAAAGGAATAGGGTCTGACAATTATAGTAATACACAGGCTGTCTTACAGAGTTGTAGAAGGCAATTTGATGTGCCTGATTGTTATTTCTGGTATTTTGAGGGAGTAAACTCCTTGTTAAAGGGAAATCGATAAGAACATTGGAAGAACCACACCACAAAAGCTAGCCATTATAGTTGGATAACTCAAGTTCTTATAAACCCCCACTGCCCACACTAAAATCCCATACTTCCCATGTGGGACTCAAGGCCCATATCTTGCAATTAGATCCTAATATCCAATCGCATTCTGCAACCCCAGCACCAATGTGGGTTGGCTATGTACCCTTCACTATAGTCCCAGACAAACACTGCAATATGGATACGGGTATATACATATCTGTCCCGTCCCCGTCCTCGATTTAATTGTGTTAATAAATTTTAATATTTTATTATGTGTAATTATTTATTATAATGTGAAACATTTATAGTTGTTTAATTATTAAGAAGTCTCTTGATTAAAATAAGAGATAGAGAAATAATCTAATTATAAAAAATCTAATTATAATTGTAATATAATGAAAAAATAATTTAAAAATATAGTATTTTTTTTTGCAAAAAAATAATAATTTTTGACGGGTACGGGTATGGATAAATTAAAATGTAAAACTTTATAGTATAGTGGAACTATAGAGGGTTGGGCCGAATCGTGAAAAAAATAAGTGTGTTGAATTGTTGTGCTGTGCTGTGCTATGATGTGTTGTGTTGTGCTGTGCTGAGTTGGGTGATATTATAGCCGCTAAGTCGGTGCTGTTATTAGCCACATATGTTGTGCTGTTATAGCCGCTAAGTCGGTGCTGTTGTTGCCGCTTTGCGGTGCTGTTAGGGCCACTTAAGTGGTGCTGTTATTGCTGCTAAGCAGTGCTGATATTGCTGCATTGCGGTGCTGATATTGTTGAGTGGTATAAGCTGTAGCTGTTGTTTATCATATTGCCATATATTTATATGTTGATTTTTAATTACACTAGCTTACCCTTTGTTGTTTCCATGATGTTTGGACTGCAATGATCATACTATGTATGGGAGCAGAGCAGGGATAGGTGACGGACTAGTGGTGAGTCTTCAGCGGACCGGCGGAGCTGATTTTCTTTTGTGTCTGTTTTGTTGTTGAGCTACTTGGGATAGTAGCATTTGATTGTAATTTTTGTACACTTTAACTCTGTTCAGATTGGACCATGTATATGTATATTCTAGACTCTATATGTATACAATTGTTCTTTTCTATGCGGTGTTTCTAGTGTGCTGTGCCGTGTGTAGTGACCAGTCGGGTCGTTACAATATTCCCATGAAAATATAAGAAATTATGTTTTAATTCACTTGTAGCTTTTTTATATTTTAATTATTTTCAATTTTAAAAAATTCAAAGAAATATTAAGATGCAACCAAATACATTTCTAAATAATAAATGCACCTGAAAATAACATTTAATTAAAATATTATTGAAAATGTGGTTTGACAATGAACTTATAATCCATGAAGAAAAAAAAAAACTCCTCCTTGTAAGTATGCACTATGAATGACAAATAAACTCGTACCCGTGGGTAATATTTGAACCCATCTCAACTTTAACGGGAAATACCCGATTTGACCGAGTACGGTACAGGTACAGGTAAAACCCGATATATTAAACTGGATATGGATACGGGTATATACATATCTGTCCCGTCCCCGTCCTCGATTTAATTGTGTTAATAAATTTTAATATTTTATTATGTGTAATTATTTATTATAATGTGAAACATTTATAGTTGTTTAATTATTAAGAAGTCTCTTGATTAAAATAAGAGATAGAGAAATAATCTAATTATAAAAAATCTAATTATAATTGTAATATAATGAATACGATACGAATAGCGATACATCCGATACTTACTACCATGCACTGCAATATCAATGTTACTAAGAGACATGGTGAAAAACTCTAATACCAATCAATAAGTACCTTGGGAGAATTATATCACAAAAGCTAGAAGTTGTGTTGTAAATAAAGCACGAGATCTTATAAAATGCCACTAAAATCCCATACTTCTAATGTGGAACTCAAGTCTTGTATCTTGCAATTTAGATACTAACAGAAACCTTGCATTAGGGGGAAACCCAGTGTTTGTTGATGATTGTACTAAAATCTGGCCTAAAACCTAGATTATTTCTGTAGTTTTTCAGATTCAATTTGTTTATTTCTTGAATCTTGAGTCCAGCAGATTCATAAGTTCACTAGGAATTACAATAAAATTTCCATATCTAACTCACTTAGCTTAAATGTAGATATAATGGATACCAGATAGTAATTATCTCTAGGCTTACATGTTTTGCCATGCCAAAGTCTGCCAACTTGACCCGGCCATTTGGATCTACCAGTATATTTGCTCCTTTGATGTCCCTTTAGAAATAAATGTAAATTCATAGATATACACATCAGAACTTAGCAAAAATTAAAACATTGAAATCATGAATAGATGACTTGTTTTACCTATGCAGAGTATTTTTAGCGTGTAAATAAGCAAGCCCTGATAAAATTTGTTGAGTATAACTACGAATAACTAGTTCACCAAACTGCCCATATTCTCGAAGAAGTTTATGTATAGAGCCTCCAGATACATACTCAAGGTATATGTAAAGCTTGTCATCAACCTGTTCAAGGGATGATTCAGAAGCCTCTATAAGTAATCACAATAACAAAGAGTGTTGAGAAACTCCCACTTCTATGTTAGCAGATAAACCACCAGAAACAAATATTTGTGACCAGAAATCGAGAATATCATGTGATACATTACAAATGGACAGTCTAGAACAAAACTCATAATAAATCCTCATCACTCACAGGAAGGTAAAGATCAAAATCTGAATGCTAACATGTTTTGTCAGTACGGTTTTGTAAGCAGGAAGTGAAGGAGAAAACCTACCGTTTCAGAACCATAATACTGCACAATATTTGGATGCTGTAAACGGCTTAATAAATGAATTTCCTGCCAGCAATTTTGTAGTTAGATTTTCAAAGCTTTGTCAAATTCAAATCAGAACTAGAAAACTACAATATTGCACCTAAAGAAAATGAATCATTTATCTGCATGAAATTATACTAGATTTGAAAGGAATCAATTTACCTGCATAAATTGCTTAGCACTTTCCATAGACTTAGGATCATCTGAAAACAGGGTAACCTCCTTGACTGCACACATTTCGCCACTTTCACTAAAAGAGAGAAACATTTAAAACAAAGCAAATCATATTAAGATGCATATATAGAAATGGGAAGAAGAAATAAATAAATAAATAAATAAATATGAAATTAAGAACATTTTAACTTACATACATACCTATTGAAACCAAGATAGACATGTCCAAATGAGCCGCTGCCAAGCAGCTTCCCTTTTTTCCAACGTGAGCCAGAGCTTGGATTATCTGCTCTAGCTGGACTTCTTGGCACGGATGGAGATGTTGATGCAGAATTAGAATGAGAGAACGGTGAGGAATTGGTAACTGTCAAAGGAGGAAGAGGCAATCGATGAGTCTGCTGTTTTCCATCATCAACCCATCCATTCTGTGCCTCAGTGGGTGCTCCCCCAGCTTTGGGATGAATAGGTGTGACTGCTCCGCTCTGAATTCTAGAGCTTGGACCAGGGCTAGTCATTCTGGGACTAGGTACTGGAGAATACTCAGGGCTACCCCTGCTTGGTTGCCAAAATAACTGTCCTGACATGTCCCCACCCATTGAATTATGCCCAGAATTATGACCAGAACCTGGACTAGAGCAATGCCCAGATCCAACAAAATTGACCTCTGAATATGGCTTTCCAGCCAAAAAAGCAGAATTCAACACCTGATCTGTGCCAAATGCTCTCAATGGACTTCTTGATGGACTTGACAAGGAACTATCAGGAGCACTATAGAAGGCACCATGAGGAGGAACCTGAAGATTTGGAACATGGTTGCGCAAAGGCCTCCGTTTTGGTGAAGTAGAAGACACATGATTACTAAGAATATTTCCTGGTTTTTTAACTCCTGTTGAATTCAGTTGGGAAGCAGTAGGTGGTTGATCCTTGAGCATCGAGCTTCAGAAACAGGGCAACTTTTGAGTAAGGGAGAATATATATACATACATAAATACATATACATATACATATACATGCATACATATATATATATATATATATATATATATATATATTTCTAATATATTCAATCACATATAACCAAGACCAGTATATGTAACAAGCACAATCTGGAAGTACATTATAGTTTGAGAAAGCTACCTGGATGGACTGCCAGCAGCATTTCTAGTCCCAGTCTCAGTGTCAGTTGCTAAAGGACTACGATTGTGCAAGTCTGCCAGCTCATCACTATCACCAGAGCCATCACTAAAGACTGAAACAGTGACCATATCTCCATCTACATCTGCAGGGTTTGGTTTACAACGTATGCATCCAGGTTTTGGAAGTGGAAGAAACAATGATGACTTGGAGACTTTTTCCAATCTTGACTTTGATGATATGCTAATTTCGGAATCTACTCGGCCTACACTTGAAGGGTGCAGACCAGGAAGTGGAAGTGGATGAGCATGCGGCCTTTCAGCAAAACTTTGACATCTTGCCACTTTGGAAGGTGAAGGAGACCTTGATTCTGATGGAGAACGATCTCCCTTCTCTGAAATTGTGTCATTGCAATGTCTACGGGATCCTCCAGATCTAATGCTTAGTTTACCTTCAGATGGAAATCTAAATTTTCGGTGCAGTGTGTCAAAAAAACTTTCTTTACTTGCTTTCTTCTTGGTTTCTTTTGATAGCAATTTTTCCCACCATGAATGCATATTTGTATTTTATAAATTGAGATGTGGCAAGCAAGTTTCTCAAAAGGATCACAGTAATAGTTCAAAAAATCTATCATTTCATGTCAGTGACCGGCGTTACAAAAGCCAGGACACAGCCATTAACCTTTAAAAGTAGGAGATTCACAAATTCCAGAAGCAATAACTTCAGAGTGACAGTAATCAGTTACTGAAAATTATTGATTGCAAAGAACCTGCAGCAGAGAAAAACGTATACTTTTAATCAGTAGAAGATGCATATAATTGTAAGTCATAAACATATATATTGTATCCAAATGCATGCTACATATCAATTCCTAATCAGTAAGCCTAGCTAAAGACAGTCCAAAGTGATAGAAGAATCTAACAATTCAACAATTCTTAGTTTATACAACAGCTACCAACTAGTAATGCAGATTACTCAACAAGTATGGTACAAGAAACACCATTCATCTGATCTGAGAGAACAAAGCACTTGGTCCCCAGTTCAAATCTCAATGAAGTATATACGCCATATAGTTAAAACAAATTCCCTCTAACCACTGGAAATAAATTAACACAAAATGACATCATTAGTCATCACTTATACATATCTTGTATGAAGAATAAAAACTCCCAAAACTTGAAAACTTTAAAGGCATGATTATTCAATACTTTTCATCAGCTCAATTTCCTTATTTACCAACTTCAGAGCACAATTCATATATCCTAACTTCATCAGTCTAACCAAAAGAAAGGGGGGAATCAATGAAATTAAACGGATATATTAGCCAGCTCTCAATCAAAACCAACCTACATATGATTTTTTTTGTGTGTCTCCATACCCAGATTCCCACATACCCAGAAAATTATCAGAACAAAAATTCCAACTTTCAAATTCCCTCCGTCCGATTCCACCAATTTTTTTAGGATCCCAAGATGCACTACCAATTCATTATTAAAAACAAGCTCATGAAAACAAAGATCAACTAACACGTGATTGAGCAAAGGAAAGAGTTAAATCAACTAACTTGTTGATTATCGAGTGAAATTAGGAAAAGGGTACCCAAAAATGGTGAAAAGGCAGAGACTTAATCGACTCTGAATTTGAAGTGAAGTCGCTGCAATTTTCAGCTAGAATCTGAGTGAGGAAGTTTCCCGAAGCATTCGGAGCTCCGCGTGAGAGCCCCAAGAGACTCGCAGAGACACAAAAGGCGACAAATAGAGAAGGATTTTGTAGTGATTTGAGGTGAAAATATTCGCAATTGAAAGAAAGTAAGTGAAAGAGATCGCGTAGAGAAGGAGAGAGAAAGAAAGAGAGTGAAGAAGGGGTCTCCGTCTCAATCAATGTTCAACCGACGATGATTACAAGATTCTTCTTAATAATAATTATTTGTAAAAATATTTATTGCCAAATACCACATTTTAACCTTTCCAAATTATTAGATACCTTTAAAAAGTGGTTTTTTTTTTGGAAAGAAACAAAGTAATTAATTTTATTAAATTTTAATTTTTCCTCTTTAAAAATTATCATTGAAGAGAAAAAAGACAAGTATTTCGTTAACATAAAACCTATATAACTGTTTTTACTTTTTAATTTCAATTTTGTGGTCTCTTTATTTTCATTAAAATTTAAACTTTACTCTCTTTTTATTTTATTTTACTAAATTTGATCTTATATTGTTTTAATTATGCATTTTAATCAAGTATGCTAATTTCGTAGTTAATATTTAATATTAGTGATTTTTTTATTGAAAATAATTATACTTGAATAGATTATAAATATTATAAGCGAGAGATCTATGTGAACATTTAACAGAATTGTTTATATAAATTTTAAATTTTAAATTATTAATTAAGTTGAACAATTTTATATTAATTAATCGTACGACTCGTGTATTGAGTTCTAGTCTTTAATGTTTATGTTGACATCTATTTTATTGCATCGTTATATATTATCATTTTCATCAAATAAATAAATAGATTAAAATTGTACCATGTGAAGAAAAAGATTAAAACTTTACAATTCAAATATTAAATAATAATTTTTTGGAAAAAAAATAAATTTTGAATTTGAGTGATAATTAGAGATTAATAAAATCAGCAAATATGTGATCTACTAAAAAAAACGAAAATATCTACCAAAATCTGCGAATATTTGAAAAGAAATTGTGTTCTTAGAAACTTTAAAAAGATTAATCTAATTTTTAATGATAATTTATTTTGGGTGGGTCTGTTGAAAATAAAATAAAATGAACTTGGTTGGTCAATTGTTTTTAAAAGGAATCAAATTATAGAATGTAGTGCATGTTTGAGTTTCAATGCAAACGTGAATTTTCACGTTTAGTTAAAGTAAAAAAAAATTATTTCCGCGTAAAATCTATCTTTAACGTGGAGAGAGTGTAAAATCAAGTTTAAAAATCCGATCCACGTAGTCTTTAGCCAACAAAAAAGAAAAGTTAAAAAATGTGGCACTACTCCTTACACGTTCAAACCATGGGTATCCAGGTAAATAGAGGATAGTTGGCATGTTGGTAATATTTAAAACCAAAAAAATTCATGCTTTTATGATTTGAGTTCCACCAGTATATATTAAATTAAAAAGTTTCGGCTTAAAAGAGAAGGGTGATAGTGATATCAAAGTTTAGAATAATACTAATCTTTAAACGTAAAACTTAAATCATGTTCACAGATGATAAATGATTAAGCCTCTTAGCTACATTGATTAAGATTTAAATCAAATTATGCATATAAAAAATTGTTAGAAAATATAAAATTCACTTTAATAGTCTTGATTTAAAAGATGATATTTAATTATAGATTGAAAAGATACTTTAGTACACACCAAAAGAGACTTTAACTAATTATCGTTGCCTTATATTGGAGCAGCCCTAGTGCTATTATTCTCGATGCACTACTTGATTGTGAACTAAGTAAAAGATAAATGAGAACAAACAAAAAAATAAATAAATAATTAAAGTATAAGAGAAATTGAGTAAAAAAATCTGTTGTTTGAATGGGTATAAATAAAACACAAGGGTGTGGGGGAAAAAAATCATTGATTTGAATGAGTAAAAAAAAATTATAAATTTTTACTCCGCTATTTTTTAACATAAACTATTTGTAACATGTTACTACATTTTATAACTCAACATTTAAATAATGAAAAACACAAATCTAATTATTTAAAATTATCATACAAATAGTTTCTAAATATTATATATATATATATATATATATGTATGTATAGAGGAAGATTATAATAACATCTATGTAACTTTTACTAAGTATTACATTGTTTAATAACTTTGTATTAAATGTTAATTTTGTAAATCTAACCGTTAGATTAAAAATTTATATTACTTTATATGTTTATATCAAATTTTGTTAAAATTGAACAACAACTTTAAGGTAATCAAAATATTCATATTTTAGTATATTTTGAAATAAATATATTACATCAATTTTATTTTATAAGAATGAAGTATCAAATCATTTTTATAAAAATTACATTTAATATAAAGTTATTGAGTTGTGTAATACTTGGTAAAATTTATATCAGTATTATTATAACCCTCGTATGTGTGTGTGTGATAGGTTAAACGTCATGATTTGATAGGGTCTGATCACTTAAATTGCTCACTTATACCGTAAGAGATTTTTTTAGTTGATATGTGTGACGATATGTTTGTCGTGTTGAACATGTTGTTGCAATGAAGTTGTTAAGTTATCCTATGTTATAAGTTGTATGTATTGTATTGTTGATAAATTGAAAGTTGTTAAGTTGTATTGAATATTAAATTTAAAGTTGTCTATGTTGTATTATTTTTAAGTTGCTTAATTGTGATTACTATGCTTTTTTTTCACAGGTTTACCATTTTTCCCTTATGACTAAAACTGCAATGATCATACTCGATATATAAAGCAAAATTAATTGGTTTGGTTTGTCTAAATTTTGGAGGGTCATATTGGAAATGATCAATTTTGTGGTGACACTACTTTTATGTAGTTTTAGTTGTGTAAAGATGTTTGATTTGTGAGTAGGCTATTTTTATTTTATACAATTATGTATTTAATGTAATTATATATGTGTACATGATATGTATAAAATTCCATGAGAGGATTTATGATTTCAATTGATTTATCTTGCTTTATACATGTATAGATTACCTAAATAATCATATATTTGTTGTATGTGAATTCTATGTTAATTATGTGTTATTTGATTTTTTTGTTAGAGATTGGATTATAATAATTATAGTGACTTGATAGTCTATACTTAAAATACAAGTAAAAGTATTATAAAAAATAATATTTGTTGTGAATGTTATTTTTAGTCTCTATAATATTCAATCTATGTTTTCCATTCTCTAATTTTTAATTTCACATTTTTAATCTTACAATTTCATTTTGATTTTTTCATCAAATATTTATTTATTGATTGTTAAAATTACAATATTAATCACGATCTATAATTAAATAAATGATATACTAATTAGTATTTAATTACATTTAGGCTAAATTTCATATTTAGTTATCATTTTTATCGTATTTATGAGATAAAAGTGTGAATTACAAGTCTAAATATTAATAAATATTTTTTTATACCTTTTATTTAATAAATCATGATTAATATTATAATTTTAATCGTCAATGAATAAATATTTAGTAAAATGACTAAAATTATAAATTTTATAAAATTGAAAACTAAAAATAATGAATTTCATATTGTAAAAAAGATCAAAAATAAAATTTAATCAAATAATATATCAAACACTAAAAGAATTAATATTCTCAGCTTCAAATCTTAAGAAACTACAAAAAAAAAAAAATTATTGTCTCAAATGCTTCCTAATACTAAAACTAACAACTTATGCATATTTTTTTTTCATTTAAATATATTTGACACTATTATTTAATTATAAATTATTATATATAATAAATTTATTGATTTTTATGATAATGATGAATGGAGTGTTCAAAAATGATAATAAAATAATGATAATTATAATAATAACTATAATAATTATAATAACAATAATAACAATAATATGGTGTTACGACGATCATTGCAATGCTAATTGTAACAATAACAATGATAAAGACAATCATAATGATAATAATATATAATAATTTTGTTTGTAATTTTTTAATTTAAATTGTGTATTTTACCTAAAAAATTATTACTAATTGTTCAATATTCTCTCTATAATTGTTCCATAATTTTAATAACTTTTTATATAATATAAATTTAATTCATTTAATCACTAAGTTATGTGATATTATACTTAAAATCATACACATTACAAAAAAAATTGTTAAACACGGTCTTTTGAGAGGGGTCAGTCTAAAAGGAAAAAATGGTTGTGTTTTTTGCAAAGAGGGGTTGGAGTCCAACAAAAACTTGTTCCTCTTGTATCCAGAGGCTTATGCTGTTTAGGTCAGATTATACGCTTGGTGGGGAGTGTCAGGAGTGCTTATCAACGATCTTAGGGGTTTTTGTCATCAATATATGGGATTAGTGAGTGACAGTAAGGGTATTAAGCGAGTTTGGTCCTTTGTTTGGTTTGCAGGTATATGACAATTATGAAAGGCTCGAAATGAGAACAATTTCAAAGGCAAACTCTTTAAGGTGGAAGAGATCTGTTCATGGCTCAGTTGAGATTGTGAGAGTGGTGTACTACTGCTAGAATGATGTCTTCTTCTTTTCCAGAATGGTAGATGAACCCCTTGTCCTGTGCAAGTGTCCCTTAAGTTATGTTTATTTTTGTTGTTTTTTTCTTATTTTTGGGACATCTTATTTTTTAATTATGACTTGCACTTCTTGTGATTAATAAATTATTGACTTATATAAAAAAAAAAACACGATCATTTGACATTTTTTTAATAAGGATATTTCTAAACTTCATTTGATAATTTGTATAAAATTTAAGTTCAAATATATTTTTGGTTGATGCAATATACTGTTTTTTTTTTATAAATTTTAGTCTTTATAAAAATATTTTTTATAATAATCCTTAGTTTTAGTTATTCTTTTAATTCTTATAATATATTTTTTATTTATTTATTTTTATTTTTATTCTAAATAATTGAGTCTTATATATAAAAGAATGAAGATAATAGTATATAATTAATTTACTTTAAGTCTTATTAATTATTTTTTAAAGAGGCTAATTCAAAATAACAAAAATTATTAAGATTAAAATAAAAATAGATATATTATTAAGGACTAAAATAAAATAATAAAAAATAAGGTCTATCAATAATAAGAATCAGAATAAAAAAAATGACATTTATGAGAATAAGAATATGTTAACGAGTTAGCACTAGCAGTAGACTACGGTCGAACAAAAGAAGAAAAAAAATGAAACGAAAATTTGAATTGAATAAAATAAATTAAAATGATATAATATATGTTAATTAATTCAATTAATAATATGAAACGAATAATAAAACTAAATATTATTCTTTAGTAGTAGTACTGGTGGTAGTAGGGTTTGAAACATTGAGACATTTCTAATCCCTTCTCCTCTTACGCGCCACTTCTCGCTTTCTCTTTGCAAATTTACGTGTAATTCTCTCCCTCGTTTTTAGGGTTTCCCTGTTTCTTCTTTTTCTTCCATTTTGTCCCTTTGACAATGTTTTTCATTCAGTTTTATATGGTGATTGTCGGTACAAATAAATAACGATGCATGAAATACTACTTTTAAACAGTTGTGGTAGAGTATCGGTAAATTGAATCCTTTTAAATTTATTAATCTGGTCTATTCATGGGTTTTGGAAGGTGAAGTTTGTAGCAAACCTGCGTTCAATGCCTTCTCATGCTGTTAGTATACTGTTGAAATAAGACGATTTATTTTAATGTTAGGAGCAGGTTCTCCTAAGTAGTTCAGTGTGCCAATAATTATTAGGTCTGAATACGGAACCAGTTTCTAAATTCTAATGTAAATGTAAAATTAATACCTTGACAATTAATTAAGCTTGTTATCCCCAAACCTTTGTTCGTCTCCTTGGCTAAGCAAATCAGACCTGATCCCTAGCAGAATATGTTGATGCTTAACCTTCTTCCAAACTGCATTAATAAAAAATATTTGTTGTTTATCTTATGTCTCAGACTATTTTAGTTTTACAATCCTTGAAAACTAGAAATTGCTTGTTAATTTCTTTTGTTTTTGCCCATACATAGCGTCCATTTCTTTTTAGTGGATGGCTCTTTTTAGTTCTTCATTGACTCATTCATTATAGCTGTTATTTTAGAGCTTCTTAACATGACATTGCTGTTAATTTTGTTCACTTGAATTGAGTTTGATCAAGCTGATGCTTACCCTTGCTGATAATGGTTGTCTTTTATCGCTGTCAAAAGCACAACACCTTAGGCCCGCCAGGAGCATCAGTCTTTTCAAGCCTTATCTTAGTTTATTTCTTTGTCTGTGGGAGCTTGATCCTCATCTGTCTGTAACTAGAAATATTGTTAAGATGTCCCTCAATGACTAGGAATATGACCAAAATACCCTTTATAAGACTTGGGCAATCCTCCTCTTTTGAGCTAGCTTTTGGGAGCTAGTTTGGTAATGGTTTGTTTCGAATATAGTTTAGATACAAGCTTAGAAATACTTTTGAGAGCTTCTGTATTGAAAAATCTTTATTTTCAATTGAAAAGCTCTCAAAAGCAGTTCTGGTTTGCATCCAAATAGGCTCATACTATATGATGTTTTAATGCTTATCTAGTCTTAATTCTGGGTCTCCCAAAGATTTCCAGTTTAGCAAACTTTACACTAGATGTCTAGTCCTTGGTGTGGCGTGGAAGGTGTGTTAAGATGTCCCATATAGGTGTCTTTCTGTGTGTCCGTCTATATATTGAACTAGAGGCTGGTTGAACAAAATTTCGGAACTTGATAATGGTGCTGCTAAACTTGGCTAAGTAGTAGTATTTTCTGAAGCTTAGGTATGCATTAACTAGCTAATAGACAAACTGATCAGTTCTTCTACCTTTAATAAACTGATTATTTAGTGTTGTGTATTCTGATGACAGTGAAAAACAATGAGGAAGCTAAAGTTTCATGAAAAGAAGCTTTTGAAGAAGGTAAATTTTTTGGAATGGAAGAGGGAAGGGGGTCATAGAGAGAACCTGGTTATGCAACGCTACCATATTACTGGACGTGACGATTACAAAAAGTATTATGCATAATTAATGATATTCATATTTTCTGACACTGTAATTCCCTTTGTTTTAGATTTTATCTTTTAGCTGACACATTTTATGTTTTTGCCTCTGTATGGTGGAAATATGAATAGATATTCAGGTTTATGCCATATGGTTCAGAAGTTAGTAAACATATTGAAACAGATGGATCCAAAGGATCCTTTTCGGATTGATATGACTGATAAGCTTTTGGAAAAACTGTAAGTTCATTTTTATTCACTCACATATCATGTAAACTTTTAAACATATTATTTAGACTAATTAGACATATAGTTTTGTTGGAGTTGAAAGTTAAACGTATGCCTTAAGTAAATATATCAATTCATTATTGTAATGAATATCATATTTTGTAATTATATTAGCTCTTATATTTCATATTTTTTTTATCCAGTCAAATTACATTGATGGTAACAAGATTCGAATTTAAGACTATGCATACTATCACAACTTCAACTCTTATATTTCATATTTACATTTTCTATTATTCCTTTGAAACAATTTATACTTAAATGTTGTTCTGAGACTCCTCAAATCTATTTGTGCTTCAGCTATTTCATTTAAACTGGATTGGTGTAGTTGGTGTGAAGTTGGTTTACCTAAATTCAATTACAAATGAAGTAGCAATTTTATATTTAAGTTGCTGGATGGATTTTGTTAACAATTTGTGCTATAAGTATTAAGTAGTACATATTCATGATCAAAAAATATGATAGAACATCAATTGCTAAACTAATAAAATACAATACCGAACATACAAATCATACATGATACAACAACATGCTGTTAGAGAGACAATTTTCCTAGAGTATTGTCTGCCCACAAACTGCAAATAAAAACACACTTGCCTAATTACACACTACTATTAGATATAATTCTAAATTTATAATATATAGCTTCCATCATGCAATTTCTAACACAGAACTTAGGCATGATTACTGATACAAGATAAGTTATTTTATATAACATACCATATACGTTTAGTAATAAGTAATAACTGACAACAATCCATCAAATGGATCCTTTCTAACCAATTAGATTTTGCAATAGGTGAACTAATTGCAATGACCCTCTGGTGCTTTTGGTTCTATGTTGATGACAATAGGTTTTCTATGTAACTTTCAAGCTGGTATAAATTATTTGAATGAGTATAACTCTATTCCTAGTCTCAGTTAGCCTTACAGTTTCAAACCGAAAGATTGTATTGATATGATTATGAGGCTATGAGCTATTATTTTCTTACACATCTTTTACTTCTTTTTGGGTGACAGCTATAACATGGGTGTGATTCCAACCAGGCAAAGCATCACACTATGCGAACGCTTGACTGTGTCATCCTTTTGTAGGTAAAAATAACATTTTCCTGTGATTATTGTTTTAAATGAACATTGAGTAATTAATTTTATTTGTTTGTGCTATGCTCAGTAGATTGTCCAAATGAAACTATATCAAGATAAAGAGAAAACAAACGATCTACTGTCAAATGTAGTTTAATAAATAATTTTAAGTGGCCCCAAATATATGATCAGGTACATGATAATCTAGGAAAATTACTGGGTTGATATTACAACTTACTTTATTCTAATGATACTAATTTTTGTTAGTATGACATCTTTGCATTATATTTTGCTCGTTTGTTCCTAAAATTAATGACTTTTTCCATAGTGCAGGCGTAGGCTCTCAACTGTTTTGGTGCGACTAAAATTTGCTGAGCACTTGAAAGAAGCTGTCACATACATTGAGCAAGGGCATATACGAGTTGGTCCAGAGACTGTTACAGACCCAGCTTATCTAGTAACCAGAAACATGGAAGACTTCGTTACATGGGTGGATACATCAAAAATAAAGAGAAAGGTGCTTCAGTACAATGACAAATTGGATGACTATGATTTAATGAATTAACTGGACAGCTAAATGTCAGCTTAATTTGGTTTTGCCATACATGAATCATGGAGAAGTTTGTTTCCTTTGGCGAGTAGTTTAGACAGGCTTAGATTTTAACAGGATTTTTTTATTTATAAAATTCATACCGAATTAAGGTGATGATGTAATGGACCAGGAAATTTATGAAACATAAAAATGTTGTTGCATGTTTAAAATATATTATGCATTTTCGAATATATTGTTTAGGGATCACATCTGCCCCCAGCTTGGATTTCAAGTGATTGATGAACCATTGTGGTTTGATTGGCGATTGGATGATAACGATGTTTATAAAGGGTAGCCTTCCTGCAAGGATTTGCCTTTTTGTTCTTTCAACTGCATAGTAATAGATTAATTATAATTTAGACTGCTACTTGGTGATTAAAGTTCACGCTCAGTGTTGTGCGTCTTTTCCCTGTTTCGTCCATTGCTCAGTTGCAGATATTCTAGCAAAACCTTAAAAAAAAAAGATCTAGGAATGCGATGCATACACATTCCAGCTTGCAATAAGTGTCACAAATGTGAATTTTTTACGTAAATATTATTTAAAAAAAAAAACCCAAATAACCACTGTGCAGGTTTATTTACACAGATAGAACCATTCACTGTTCAAGCTCAGAATTCGGTTCCCTGAGCATCAAAGTGTATTTTTTTTTGTTTTTTCAACTCAGAATTCGGTTCCCCAGCGTTAAGAACGGGCCGTTCTTGGCCCGTTTCACTTTTAGAAATTTCACTCTGTTCCTTTAAGCAGAACGGCCCGTTCTGCTTTCAGAACGGGCCGTTCCGCTTCCGGGTCTGCTCATGTTTCCCTGCGAACACGAAAAAAAAAAATATATAAAACCAACTCAGAATTCGGTTCCCCGGGAACCGAATTCTGAGTTGAAAAAACAAAAAAAAAAATACACTTTGATGCTCAAAATTCGGTTCCCCGGGAACCGAATTCTGAGCTTGAACAGTGAATGGTTCTATCTGTGTAAATAAACCTGCACAGTGGTTATTTGGGTATTTTTTTAAAAAAAATAATATTTACGTAAAAAATTCCACAAATGTCGGATTCTAAATTAGTAATCAGTTGATGCATTTATTCAATAAATAAATGTACACATTTCTAATAAATAAGTAATGACAAAAGGAAGGGAGAGAGGCCAGACGTATTTTTTGCTGTGTGAACATTTGATATTGTCTGAATAAATAAATATTAAAAATAAAATACAAAATACAAAAAAAAAAAAACAAATGTGACTTGTGAAACACCAAACAAAATCACATTTATCTTTTATGGAATTATTAGTTAAATTAGAATAATCTCACAAAAACTTACCGGTTATTAAACAGAAATTTATGTTTGGTGATTAATAAAGTGCAAGTACATGTTAGAAAGAAAAAGACAAACTCACAAATGTTATTAAGTAAAATGAAATAAATTTATAATTATTAAAAAAAATAGTCACACTACAATGTAAACAATAAACAATTAAGAAAAAGATGCAAATAATCAAATCTTATGTACTCAAATTATTACGATCTACCTAATGGTAAGAGATTGAAATAATATGTTCATAATCTTATATTTGAATTTTAGTTCTATTATTGTAATTTTCATAAATAAATAAATAAATAAATATACTTTATAAAAAAAATATGTAACCAATCTTAGCTCGCCTCCTAACCAAATATGGAGCAACCTATAGCTGGTACCTTGCTATGAGTTGATGCTAACTCGTAGGGCACCATGGTGGATAAATATGGGGCGATGTAGTGACGTGGTTCTACTCAATTGGTGTGCGTATAGCATGCACATGACACATTGATAGGTATTCTAGGCTCATGATGAGCCTTTAGTGTGCCGTTAATTTTAGACTCATGATGAACGAGGTATTATTCATGGAGATATTAGTTGGTAAAAAAAACTTAATGACTATGGCACCTAGTTTGGATGATGATATTAAATTAATATTGATGTTTGACTCCTATGTGTCGTTTAAGTGACAGTAGTGATGGGATTTGTCAAGGTTTAGTGTTGTGGTTCTAGTCTTATACATGGTTTTGAGAATGTTTGAGAAAAACTATCAGAATAAACAAAAAGAAACCCGGATATAAAAAAAGGAACAAGTAAAATTAAACTGTTTTAACACTTTAATATGCCTTTCCTATCTTATTTTACTAAATTTCACAGCATCACTTGGCAACTAGCTGCTCATTTTATTTTACATAAAGACCATTAACAAAGAACATCAACATCCATTTTCTTAATAATGTATCCATAAGTTGAAACAGATTGACATGAAATTCGTTCATGTTGAAATATCTTCAAGCAAGACTCGTTTTTGAATAAAATGTGTTTGTCATCTTATGAATGTCAAACCAATAGCAGTGACTATGATTGTGGAAGGAAGGCCAAATTTGAGGTGACTCCAGAAGGTTAATGTGTATGGTAGGTTTGGAGCACGGCGAGCCTGTTCACACACTATCAAGTTAGCAGCTGATCCCAACAGTGAGAGATTCCCTGATATGGTGCTGGCCCAAGCCAAGATCAGCCATGCCTTCTTCTCATCTGCTTTCGAAATTGCAGCAGCTGAGACTGCTACCCTTCCTCCAAGCAACAGAACTATAAATTGGAAGTTAATTTTAGTCATCAGTCATGTATATCATAAGATCAAAATTCTTTCATAATGATGCATACGAGTTTAGTATGATGTATAGGACATCTTATTTACATAGAAGAATACTAGCAACACTCTCTCAAACACTCCTTTTGACATTCTTTCTTTTATTCGCAAAAAATTATTAGAATTCACAAATTTTAATGATCCCATCACTAAATTAGAAGAGAAAATCATTGAATGAGAGGTAGGACTAACTAAAATTTATGATGTATAATAAATTTCAGTTAATAATAAAGAGAATGTTGAAGAGACTGATGCTAACATTTATGTTATTATATGATATCGAGCTAAAAAGAAAATGAACCGGAGACAAACGAAGATAAAATATCTACTATTGGCATTTGACCATGTATTCCCCTAGCATGGTTGGTGAAAGTGTACTGTGATTTGAAGACAAATTGATATAATATGCATAATTTAATTCCTATTATTCAATGACACTCAAAAGATTATGTACAGTAAGTGATAACTTAAAGAAATTTGTATTCTGATAGTTATTGGGTCTATGCAACCACTAAATAGACAATCTGCAGTATAAAAATTCAATGACAATCAAGGATGTCCATAAAACCACTACAATAACAATAACCTTATCCCATTAGATGAGGTTAATTACATGAATCACAATATGTTATGAAGCTTGGTTAAAAATCAAAATTTCAAAATATTATTTATCATAAAGTCACTTTTAATAATTTCTTCCATATCCTTCTTGGTCTCTCCATCCCTTTTCATAGGGACGAAAACTTTGTGATCTATTCTTCTTACCGGTGCCTCGAGTGACTTTCTTAAATAACCTTAACCAACTTTCCGTCATCTTTTTTCTCAAAGTTGTCATACCAATATCTTATATACAATTGTCAACAATACCACAACTATTCCTTTTTATAAGAAAGCTAACTATATTGAATTTAACTCTTCTAATGTGAGTAAATGTTTAAAATGAGAAATCAGAGATGCATATTCTGTTTAATTTGAGCTAAAGTATCATATAATCTTAAATCAACAATAGACAGATTCTTATATTCTCTCACTTTACACATTTGTTAACTTTAGAGGAGCAGTCAATCATGTCAAATTTGTTGAACATATCTTTCAATGTTTTTTTTATTTTGAAGGTAAAAGGCCCTGAACAAATTGATTCGCAATAGACGTGGACATTTAATATATGTCGTTTCATATAACGTTTTACTATTTCTTGCATTGCTTTGATTGCTTTGCAGTGTGCAATCAAGAACTTTATAGGATTCAAGTCCGTGAATATGGCGTGTGTTGATTACAAGCCAGGCTCCTATCTAAAAAGTTGATGCATTCAATGAACCAATGTTAATAAATCCACATCACATGATGAAAAACCCCCACATCCACTTACCTGTTGGTACATTTGAAGCCAAATTTGATAGGACAAGTATGACAATTGCAAGTACTGCAACCCCACTAGCACGATCAACATGAGAATAGGGCTCCATCAAATCCCACAGAGAACTTGGAATTCCAGTCTTATTCAGGCCATCTACTGTGATAAACATTCCACAAAAGAATATCAAAAGTGAATATGAAACCTGTTACAAGAGAAGAAAAAAAAACTATTCTGAGAGGTTGTTCAATGTTGAAGGGGCAGTAGAAGTATAGCTAGCATGTATTTCAAGGAGAACAGAAAGAAAACGAGAAAGATAATATTTAGACCTTCTCCAAACATGGTCTAGCATCCTTGAAATCAAGAACTATGAGAGCAAGTGCAGCAGTAATTGCAGTCCATGACATGTTTAAACCTAGAAGTAAAGCAACCAGCATTCCTAGTGTGATGATGTAAACGCAAGATTTCCACAGTACCCTTTTCCATCTTATGATAAAATCGCTTTTTCTTTCTGAAGGGTGAATAGGTGTATCTACTGCTGATGAAGAATTTGAAGGGCTAGTTTCCTCCTTTGTCAGAGATGCCACACCATTTATTCCATCCCTTGATATGTTTGACATTTTTGCAGAATCAAAAGTGCTGCTAGCAATTCCATTACTTGTTATATTACTTTCACTTGCATTTGAAACCGATCGGTTTCTTAGAATCTGAAGTTGAGGAGAGTTCTGAATACTAATAGATTCAAGATGAGAATGCCATTCTTGAGAACTCAAGGATGAAAAATGAGACATCGTGGCTGGAGAAAACCTATGGGAATCATACTCCTCCTCTACCACATCTTCAGCACCTGCATCTTCTTCATCCTTATGAACAGACAATAACTTCCAATACATGATTAGAAGAATTGTAGCATTTGCTACAACTCCTGCCACCATAGCTGGAAGAATACCAATCAGAAAATTCCCAAATGATATTTTACTCTGAACAGCTATAACAAGGTTTTGGGGGTTGCCAATTGGTGTTGCTGAGGATCCAATATTAGCACTTGAAGCAAGGGCAAGTAGGAAGGGTGTCGGAGGAAGGTTATGCTGCCTTGCAATTTTTAGTATGAATTCAGTTAAAACAACACAAGAAGTGTCATTTGTGAAAAGAGCACTTGAGACAGCAGAAATAATACAGATCCTACAAAGCAAGTCCTTTGCACCTCTACTTTTCCAAGCCAGCAACTTGCCTATGTATTTAAACATGTCTGCTCTTTCAAGATAAACACTCACAATCATTGTCCCAAAAAGAAGACCAAGAATTGGGAGATCAATTGTGGCATAAGCTTCATCTGGAGTGATAACTTGGAATAGGACCATGAGCATGGCACCAAGTAGGGACCCTGCAGTTCTTCCAACTGGTAGAAAAGGCACAGCTGGGAAAACTGCTAATACCCAGAAGATTGCAAATGCAATTAAACCATACACCACTTTCGGAAAAGCTAGTGCCATATTGAGACTAAAGAAGCCAACAACTAGTTCCTAGTTCCAACCAAAGACTAAAACTTTCAGCTCTAGGGTATCAACAATGATACAGCAGCGTCATCTTTTTTCTCAAAGTTGTCATACCAATATCTTATATACAATTGTCAACAATACCACAACTATTCCTTTTTATAAGAAAGCTAACTATATTGAATTTAACTCTTCTAATGTGAGTAAATGTTTAAAATGAGAAATCAGAGATGCATATTCTGTTTAATTTGAGCTAAAGTATCATATAATCTTAAATCAACAATAGACAGATTCTTATATTCTCTCACTTTACACATTTGTTAACTTTAGAGGAGCAGTCAATCATGTCAAATTTGTTGAACATATCTTTCAATGTTTTTTTTATTTTGAAGGTAAAAGGCCCTGAACAAATTGATTCGCAATAGACGTGGACATTTAATATATGTCGTTTCATATAACGTTTTACTATTTCTTGCATTGCTTTGATTGCTTTGCAGTGTGCAATCAAGAACTTTATAGGATTCAAGTCCGTGAATATGGCGTGTGTTGATTACAAGCCAGGCTCCTATCTAAAAAGTTGATGCATTCAATGAACCAATGTTAATAAATCCACATCACATGATGAAAAACCCCCACATCCACTTACCTGTTGGTACATTTGAAGCCAAATTTGATAGGACAAGTATGACAATTGCAAGTACTGCAACCCCACTAGCACGATCAACATGAGAATAGGGCTCCATCAAATCCCACAGAGAACTTGGAATTCCAGTCTTATTCAGGCCATCTACTGTGATAAACATTCCACAAAAGAATATCAAAAGTGAATATGAAACCTGTTACAAGAGAAGAAAAAAAAACTATTCTGAGAGGTTGTTCAATGTTGAAGGGGCAGTAGAAGTATAGCTAGCATGTATTTCAAGGAGAACAGAAAGAAAACGAGAAAGATAATATTTAGACCTTCTCCAAACATGGTCTAGCATCCTTGAAATCAAGAACTATGAGAGCAAGTGCAGCAGTAATTGCAGTCCATGACATGTTTAAACCTAGAAGTAAAGCAACCAGCATTCCTAGTGTGATGATGTAAACGCAAGATTTCCACAGTACCCTTTTCCATCTTATGATAAAATCGCTTTTTCTTTCTGAAGGGTGAATAGGTGTATCTACTGCTGATGAAGAATTTGAAGGGCTAGTTTCCTCCTTTGTCAGAGATGCCACACCATTTATTCCATCCCTTGATATGTTTGACATTTTTGCAGAATCAAAAGTGCTGCTAGCAATTCCATTACTTGTTATATTACTTTCACTTGCATTTGAAACCGATCGGTTTCTTAGAATCTGAAGTTGAGGAGAGTTCTGAATACTAATAGATTCAAGATGAGAATGCCATTCTTGAGAACTCAAGGATGAAAAATGAGACATCGTGGCTGGAGAAAACCTATGGGAATCATACTCCTCCTCTACCACATCTTCAGCACCTGCATCTTCTTCATCCTTATGAACAGACAATAACTTCCAATACATGATTAGAAGAATTGTAGCATTTGCTACAACTCCTGCCACCATAGCTGGAAGAATACCAATCAGAAAATTCCCAAATGATATTTTACTCTGAACAGCTATAACAAGGTTTTGGGGGTTGCCAATTGGTGTTGCTGAGGATCCAATATTAGCACTTGAAGCAAGGGCAAGTAGGAAGGGTGTCGGAGGAAGGTTATGCTGCCTTGCAATTTTTAGTATGAATTCAGTTAAAACAACACAAGAAGTGTCATTTGTGAAAAGAGCACTTGAGACAGCAGAAATAATACAGATCCTACAAAGCAAGTCCTTTGCACCTCTACTTTTCCAAGCCAGCAACTTGCCTATGTATTTAAACATGTCTGCTCTTTCAAGATAAACACTCACAATCATTGTCCCAAAAAGAAGACCAAGAATTGGGAGATCAATTGTGGCATAAGCTTCATCTGGAGTGATAACTTGGAATAGGACCATGAGCATGGCACCAAGTAGGGACCCTGCAGTTCTTCCAACTGGTAGAAAAGGCACAGCTGGGAAAACTGCTAATACCCAGAAGATTGCAAATGCAATTAAACCATACACCACTTTCGGAAAAGCTAGTGCCATATTGAGACTAAAGAAGCCAACAACTAGTTCCTAGTTCCAACCAAAGACTAAAACTTTCAGCTCTAGGGTATCAACAATGATACAGCAGTAACTACTCCCTGAGAAATATTCCTGAAATATGATAATTCAGTCTGAGACATTAGCAATCAATAATGATTACCAATTAAGCAAGTGGTACAAAGACATAAGCAATCAATTTGCTCGTGTCATCTTACCAAGCTTAAACAGCAGCACAAATCAAGGTTTCACATAAAAACAAGAAGAATGAACAATTCATGCACCCCTCCTTTCAGAAAATGCAAAAGTCTATGCTCATGTTAGTGAGACCCAAGATAGAATTAAAAAAACGAAGAAAACTTGGCACCATTTAACAACTCATTCAGCTAAGTTAATTTAAAGAACAAATATCTAAATACTGTACATTTGATCTCAGAAAGATAAATGCAAAATCCAATATCTCTAACATTATTTCGTTTTGTGCCATTAGGATAAATGTTTTATGCAAGTTGTAAGCTAAGGTATCAACTCATACAACACTTTTTTGCAACTAAACACAGACGTGAAACCAGGCATCTTACCTATTAAAGTAAAAGTTTTCATTCATCTGTGGCTAACATGTAAAATACCCGGATTGGCTTTGTGTATGTCTAGCAAGCAACTTGTGTTTGTCTTTCTTATGACACAGTATCTTGGTAGCTATAGATTGGATTACGTTGACAGAATATCTTGGTAGAGAATTGGAGCATCTTCTGTCTTTTCGAGGCACGCTAACGTCAACTCATACTTTATCATACCCACGTGGTGAAACCTTACCCTCTATTCTATTGCTATTAGGCATATTATTTGCACCATAGAGATTAAATCGCAAAACCAACGTTATTAGTAGCTGCTAGTGCTAATACTACCTTCCCAAGCACAATTCTAAGAATCAATAAAATATTCTTTTGTTTTCTCTGGTCGGTCTTCAAACTATAATTCTTTGACACCCTGATTATAGTTTTAACAATCTTGGGCTTCAATAATTTCTCTACTATTATAGTATTACTTAGGAGAAAGTCTTGGTAGGGCACCAACTCAACCCATCATATGATCCATACGTTTATTAGTATAACTTGGCTTTGACTAGAGACAGAAAAAGATAATATATATATTTGGTTGGATAGTTGGATTAAACATGTTTTGTTTAATTAGTGGACATTGTGAGTAGATGCAAAGGCGGTGATAAACAATTTAAAGAGAGCTCCGTGATGGATTGAGCCCTATGATGCACCGATACGATACGCGTATCGGATACGACACGTATCCGATACGGCGATACGATTATTTAAAAATATATTGAATACGATATTTGTAAGATACGTGTTCATCAAGGACCAATAATTCTATGTTTCTATATTAAACATGTTTATATATCTTATTTAGTTATAATGAATATTTTATAATTTTTCAAAAATTTGAACACTTTATTGATACGTATCACTAATAAGTATCGGTGAAGTATCTGAAAGTATCAAAATTGAATACAATTTTTATAATATTTTAAAAAACTAGGATACTTCATTGACACGTATCGGTAAAGTATCCAAGAGTATCGTGTCGAATATGTATCGGATACGGATACGTGAAGCAAATTGAAGTATCCGTGCTTCATAGATCGAGCCTAATGTTTAGTTAGAATATAATACATTGGAAAGTTGTGATGTGCAGTGTGTGAAAAGATGGACTATAAGCGTCTGAGTGTAGACCATACAACATGTCGTTTTCATATCATTATCACGATTCATGGCCAGAGATTTTAACTCTATCTGCTTTTCTGGGCTGTCCTTCACCAAATTTTGGATGCTTGGAGTTAATAAAGCAGAAGCTTTATGCATAGTCATCGTCAGCTAGGAGAGGACATTTTTAATGGCTTCAATTAAGTAAACCTGTATCTACCATCGTTTCATAAACAATAGAAACTCCACTTTCACATATTTTTGGGTATTCGGGAGTGATCATATGATTTTTTTTCCTCAACTTTTTGGGTTAATGGAATGAATCAGTCTCTTATTAGGGCGTTATTCTTTTTTTTTTTTTATTTAAAATTTATCAAAAGAAAGGCAACGTATTCATGAAACGATATAAAATCTAAAGTTCAAGCACTACGAGCAGTGGGTGCTTGGTGCAGCTGATTAAGTAACAGATAACATTCTATACACTGACAACATAAAAATGTTTTATTATCTAATCATAAATTGTTGTTTTATAAAGTTCACTTTAAAGTTATTATATGATATGCGATTGGTTTATCAGCACATATTCATTAAACTTATTCTTTTAAACTATAAAACATGGTTTTAATAATTAAATATGGTTAACTTTTTCGTCTCGTATTTAATTCTTCGTAAATTTAAAGATTTTATAAATAATTTTCATCACTATTGACACGAGTCAATGCTACTTTAGAATATACCCATCGATGTGATAAAATTAGATGTCTATTATTTTAAAGCTTCTATTGGATCTAGTTTTTAGATATTTATTCTCTTACCCACTTTAACATGTAGGGTTTTGTAGGATTAGCTGAAGTTATGCTTATTTTTTCAGATTATACATTGTATTTTAAAAGATTAAATATATATTCATTATAATTTTAATTATATTCAATAAACATACTTGTAAATTACACAAATAAAATAATAGTTCAATTAAATCACATATATAAATATTTTTTTAAAAAAAAGTAAAATAATCCCTCATAACACGGTGGTGAACATGGCATGGGCTTAACAATATCACTTATTTCCTACTTTCTGGTAATGACACTGTAAAATGATGGCCAGTGCTAATCGGGTGAGAGTTGGCCGCACAACATGTGTGTTCCTAAAATGTGATGCAACATAAGCCTCACAATAAAATCATGCACCGTATTGTGTGTTTCAATCTGCTACATACATATGCGTCTAATACTAAAATCCAATGTTTCTAAAGTCGAATGTGAAACGGTAAGGTAGTTAAAAGTTCAATAGTTGAATGATGTTTTTTCAATAATCAAATGGGTATTAATAAAATAATAATATTATTAATAATATAAAATAATATTAAAAATAAATATTATATCATGATCTCATAAAACTAAAAATTAAAATAAATTCTCTGTATAAAATGAACATAAAACTTCATATATAATATTTTAATTTTAATTTTAATAAAATATAATAATATACATTAATAATAACAAATTTAAATTTAGAGTAAAGAGTGTCAAATTAATATACTATAAAATGAAAAATATAAACATAAAAAATTATAAATTTTATATAAATGACTAAATTAGTTTTTATAAAAAAAATTAATTAAAAAAATGATAATTGATTGTTAGTTCAAAGGATGAATTAGTAATACCAAATTATATGATTCCATTATGCTAGAAATCAATACAAATCCTTTTTTTTTTTGGTTAGAAATCATGAAATATCTCATGCTACAAATGTCAAAATTACACGATTTTGAATCGAGGTGAAATATCTCGTTCTGAAGGTAAAGTATCATACTACAAACATAAATATTAACTTCTTGGCAAGTTAGACAAGCTGTCACATATTCAGTCACTTCCTTTTTCATATTAGACCGTTAGAACATCTTCTTGAAATCTCGGTATATCTTAGTCATACCATTATGTAGACTAAGCGAATCTTGTGACCTTCTTCTAAAGTCATCTTCTTTAACACAAAATCCTAATCTTGTATATGCTTCTTTCTCACCTTTTCCAATAATCCATTAGCAATGGTAGTCATCCCACAAAAAATATAATATTGAGAGATCACCGCACTAAGATTCAAATTTTTTGAACTTCTCAACCAACTTTAACTCCTTTATTATCATTGATGACATTTGAATGAATTTCTTGCTCCAAGCATTTGCCACTACATTGGCTTTACTAGAATGGTACACCAACTGGAAGTCAATCCTCTAGGAATTCCATCCACCTTTGTGGTCGAATATTCAACTTTTTTTGATCAAATAGGTACATCAATTTCTTTGATCACTGAAAACCTCAAGCTTTGCTCCATAAAGTAATGCCTTTAGATCTTTAAGGACAACACTATAGCTGCCAACTTTAGATCATGAATAAGATAATTCTTCTCACGAGTCTTTAACTACCTTGAGACATAAGCTACTACCTACCTTTTCTACATCAACACACATCCTAACCCTTGATGAGACGCATTACAATATGTAAACCTTAAAAGATTGACTTGGTTTAGGTAACACCAACATTTGAGATGTAGTCAACTTTTTCTTCAACTTTTGAAAATTGGACTCACAGGCATTCATCCAAACAAATGACCAGTCTTTTCTAGTCAACTAAGTTAGAGGCATTTATATTTTGGAGAATCCTTCAATGAATCTTCGATAGTAACCCGCCAACCCAACAAAACTCTTTATCTCGGTAACTATCTTGAATGCTCCTACTACAACACAATTTCAACATTGGTTGGGTCCACTAAAATCCCTTTAGTAGAAACCACATGGCCTAGAAAATTCATGTTATTCATCAATAACTCATACTTTGACAACTTTGAATACAACTTCTTCTCCCTCAACACTTCTAACACCAACTTCAAAATCTCTCTATTCTCTTCCAAGGATATTGAACATATAAGAATGTCATCTATAAAAAATAACAAAAAAAAACTATCTAAAATGGCCTAAAAATTTTATGGAGAAAAAAGAGACACTAGAAAGGGAGTTGAATAGTATCAATAAAAAACTCAACACTTTTTTGAAATAGTGAAGTAGTAGCAAGACCGTAAGAGAGCAGGCAAAGAGTAAAGTAAAAAGAACACACAATATTTTCATATTGGTTCATCTCAACCACTAAAACTACTTCCAGCTTTTGATCAATTTGGTCAAGTTCACTATCTTTTACAAAGATACAAGTATTCTTTCACAAATCACTTCTAGCTCAACGTAAGTGTTCTTTGACTTGCCTCTTCATGCAACTACCTAAGTATTCTTTAAACAAAAAACCTCTCTAGCTTTAACAACCAAGTACTTTTTTATAG